ATTAGGGTCGCTCTGCTGTACTGTACCTATTCATACACTATTCAATCTTCGATCAGTAAATTTGCATAATCAATATAATAGCATTAGATAAACGCTAGAAAATTGGAATTTCCCATGTATCACAGCCATTTTGGATCTTTATCATTTGTTCGACACTATCTTCAAATTGAACACAGACAAAGTAAGTAAATGCTTAAGCCTACAAGAAATGAATTCATCAAAAATTAATTAAACCATTGTTTATTTGTATTATATACTGCATAGGCCTATATGAGGCTCATTACGAAATAGGACTAAACACAAATAGCATGTATAAAACAAATTACAACAAATAGACGCTCCATTGTGATGTATAATTGTGAAATCTAATTAGAGATTGAAATATTTAATCATTCCGTTCAGATTATAACATTTTCCTTGAAAAAAAAAAGTTATTATACACCTAAGTGGGGAGCAGGCTGGTTGCCCCCCGGACCTGTCTCTTATACACATCTGGTGAAACTTTAAGTTCTTCTTAAAAGAATATAAATTAGGCGAATTACAAACACACGAATTTAAATACAAGGAATACATCAAGATTTATATCATCTCTTTATATATTTTTTTTGTTGCTGTTGTTTACGTTTAATTATAATATAACACATAGCAATATTGACAATTTGATAATAAAGATTAAATAACTAAAAATGAGCAAATACAAATAAAGTAAGCTTAATGGCGTAATGTGTATAATTCATACTGCTGTTATGTTTGTTGCTGTTACTTAAATATTACCAGGGAACACTTAAATTACAATTGTAATTTAACTGTTTCCTGATATTACCATGCTAATTTTTTACCTACTTGTACTATGTAAGTAAAACTGCTGTTGCTGTTAACATGTACGTTTGTTTAATCATTATACCTCCATGTTTTCAATATTGTTGTGTTAATATATTATAATTAGTTTGATAATAACAAAAATAAATACTGTAGTAAATAAAAATGAGCAAATACAAATAAAGTAAACTTAATGGCTTAATGTATGTAAATTCATATATTGCGTTTTATGTTTGGTGTTATTACTTAAATATTAATATTGAATTTATAAAATTTGTATTGGGGCTATTAACTGCTGTTTGCATGTACATTTGTTTAACTATTATACCTCCATGTTGTCAAAATAGTTATGTGTTATATTATAATTAATTTGATAACAAAAAGAAATAGTAACTAAAAATGAGAAAATGCAAATAAAATAAACTAATGTTTGTTGTTGTTACTTAAATATTACCATTTTAAATATTGTTGTTACATGCGCAGTTGATTTAATAAAATTTTTATAAAAGAGATGATATAAATATTGATGTATTCCTTGTATTTAAATTCGTGTTTTTACAGGGGAGGGGGTGTCGGGGAATTGCCTACACCCGTAGGTAATTGTGGACACTTGACTCCAGTGTAATTAATGCTTGTTAGCTAATTAAATAATAATCTGATAACCTTGAATTATGCATGTAATTAAAGACCAATAATAGTTGTTAAAAACTTCTAGGTGTGTAACTCAATCCACATTTTTTAAATTTATGCAAATATGCTTAAAGATCCACAATTCCCCACCCTTACCCTAAATGGCCAAAATAATATACTGCTTGTTGTTATGACAACCATGGACATCTCTGTGTTTAATTAAAGGTAGTTGACAATGATTAAGATACAACCATTTTATTTTTTTATTCTGTCGTTTAATATATCATGTTAGAACACTCATTCGATATAACAACACGATGTGAATGAGCTTATTATTGGTTTTTTTTTGTTTTTTTTGTTTTTGTTTTTTTTTTTGCGTTTTAGATGGCATCAGAGATCACGTTGTTTGAAGATGCGAATAAAGAATTTTTAACATGCTCCATCTGTAAGGACATTTTCAAACACCCGAAACAGCTGAAATGCATGCATAACTTCTGCCAAGATTGCCTAGAACCTTTAATGAATGAAGCAACTTCACGCAAGATAAAGTGCCCCCTCTGCCGTGAAGAAGTTGAGCTGACGGGCGACACCGTTGCTAAACTAGAAGACAATCTTTTCCTCAGTAATTTGTGTGAGTTATTTCTAGTGGCTAATCTCAATACCATGGACGTGCTCTGCTCATTTTGTTCAGAAGTATTAACTGAAGGAAATTCGTCACGTTGCATCGATTGTTCCGACAACCTCTGCGATAAATGTGCAAAGGCACACACCCTGACCCGTGTGACAAGAAATCATCAAGTCATCTTGATGTCTGAGCTTAAAACGGACACACTGGTGAGAAAATCGAGAGAAGGAAACGCCAAGATACCATGCCAGAAACACTCAAATAACCATTTGGAGTACTTCTGCCAAACATGTCAAGTACCCGTATGCCTCGGATGTACAGTTGTAGATCACAATCAACGTGATCATTGTCTCATAAATCTACAAGATGGTCCGACCAAAGAAAAATTCAAGGAGGAGATAACTGAGCAACTTAACAAGCTGGAAGAAATCATACCATCCTTTGAAAAGAATATTGATATTGCAAATAAAACGGAGAAATGTCTTATCAAAAGTCTTGAAAAAACAAAAAATGATATACGGGATACTGCAAAGAGTCTTATTGATGAAATCGAAGCTCACGCAAAGTCTTTGATTGAGAAGGTCGATAAAAAAGCTGAAGCTATTCAGAAGTTAGTTGAACATCACAGAGAATCTGCTGAAATCCGGGTCAAGAGTTCTACCAAGATCAACCAGTTTGCTAGAAACCTGTGTAAGCATGGCCTAAATGCTGAGATAATGTCATCGGCTAAAGATCTGTTGAGAAGAATAAAAGAACTGCAAGAGGATATGAAAGATCTAGAAGGAACTGGTGAACTATGTTTCGTCAGACAAGATGAATTCAAGTTAGGAGTAGTGAAGGAGTGCAAGATCATAGTTAGTATAGTTTTATTATTAATATTGATAGTGACCTATACCTTAATAATATTTAACATTTCGACCCAAAATTAATATTTCTTCACTTTCCTTTAATTTATGCACTATATTTCCTTCACATTCTGTTAAAAACCTTGGTGTTTTCTTTGATGAATCTCTTTGTTTTAATAACCATATAAGTCACATTACTAAAATTACTAACTTTCATCTACGCAATATTGCTAATATCAGAAAATACATTTCAAAACACACAGCTGCCATATTAATAAATGCATTGGTCACACCCCATCTGGATTATTGCAACTCCCTTTTCTACTCGTTACCAAAAAATGCGATAAATCGCCTTCAACGTCTTCAGAATTCAGCTGCACGTATTCTGACTCTTACTTCTAGACGCTCACATATATCACCGGTAATTTATCATTTACATTGGCTCCGTATTGAATCTCGTATCAAATACAAAATCCTGCTATTAAACATTCAAAGCACTATTTTACAAACAACCCACTTACCTTGTTGAACTCATTCATGCGTATGCCCCACCTACTTGTCTCCGTTCTTCTGATAAAAAATCTTTGTTCCTAGGATTAACACCAAAACCTTTGGTTCTAGATCATATTCATTTTCCGCAGCATCCCTCTGGAACTCATTGCCCAAACATATTATTATCCAATCACCGTCAGTTGCTATTTTTAAGACAAAACTTAAGACGCACCTTTTTACCATCTAAATGTTAAGTGCCTTTGATTTTTACTTCGGTATAGTTGAAATTGGCGCTATATAAATTATTATTATTATTATTATTTATTTATTTATACAAGAGAATAATTTAAATCAACGAGTAAAATCATAGAAGGCAAAATCCCGCTTTACAATCCATTCATTAATTCGTTTATTTGTTCGTTCGCTTCTCCTCAATAATTTGTTTTTGTGTTTGTTCATTCATTCATTCATCATCTTCACATCTGCTAAAATGATATAACATTCGTAATCTACCTTAAACAAACTAGGCCTATGCATAATGTAGTACTCCACTAAAAGTCCTTTCTTATGATCTACAGAGTGTTTTCAAATTAAACTGTTTCACAGGAACGGGATGAGTACAGCCCAATAGAATATTACACTGCAAAGGAGATGGCGGTAGGCGATCAGATTAAAAGAGGTCCGAATTGGCCGTCAGGGTTTGACACTTACGACAATAATGGACGGCAATGTAATAGTATCCAGTCAATTCAACGAAATGCTCCGAATGATATTGTTGTTACTGTTAGCTGTCGGCCAAACCCTTCTTATGGAGGCGGAGCGTTCAATGGGCCACCGTTGGGTATCCAGGTAGGCCTATATAATTAGTCATTTTTTGGTGATCAGCTAAACAGTAACTCTGACTCAAGTACTTGCTCCTGTAGCCACACATTATTACACGTTGCAAATTCCGTCCAGTCAGTCTGTGACAAAAAGGGTCAATTGATCTTGGTGTTACTGTTTATTTTCAGTACGTTACTGTTAGGTCTACTGTTGAATGCAAAATGAATCCCGGAGAATACTGGTTACAGCCAAGTAAAGCATCTCATCAAAATTACCAGGTAATTAATGCGACATTCTATTATAATAAGCTGAGCAATTCCTAGGGTGCGATTTGAATTAAGGAATCAAGGAATATTTATTGGATGGGTGTGTGAAAATATGTGTGCCGGTAATCGATGTATGCCTGTAAGAAAACTATAATAAAACAATCAGGAAAAAGACAAACATTAGTCTTAAAAAGGTGCACAGGTCTATGGGTGTGTGAAAATATGTGCCGGTAATTGATGTATGCCTGTAAGAAAATTATTAAAACAATCAGGAAAAAGACCAACATTACTCTTAAAAAGGTGCACAGGTCTGCCTCTAATTGAAGATCTCTCCAATGACTACTTTTCTGTGGTCTCAAATTAACAAAAATGTCATTTATCCTTATCATTCTAAGTAGAGACCAATGTTGTTAAATTACCATGGAAACCCTGGTCCCAAATGTGTCACTAAGTTGGAGGGAGACCTGTGTCTTAAGAAATGAATCTGGATATTCTAGGTAACTAGGCATTTGAAGGCTGTCGTGCAAATACAGTATACTTTAATGTTAATTAAATAAAATACTCTATAAGAATGTTCTGTTTTCTTGATCGATCCGTTATGGGGCTAGTCATTAAAAAATGTACATACTTAAAAACTGAACATTTTGTCTTTCCAGCGTCGACTGGAATGTTATGCAAAATATTTCATGAAAGTTGGAGATGAAGTGAAAAGGGGTTTAAGTTGGCCTCTAGGCACATATGACTCGTACGACGGAAACGGACAGAAGTCAGGAAAAATCACGCGAATCAACCAAACACGAAGTGGCACTACAGTTACCGTAAATTTTGGACCACCAGACAACCAAACAATAGAATGCCCAATGAATACTGGAAACTACTACTTGTTGCCCCTTCAACATTCATTTCCTTTGATTGATTGGGTTGAGTTTTAAATGTCACAGAGTTTAACTACAGCACATATACATTTTGAAAGGAGTAAGTTTTAAAACTATATTTTAAGTCGCTTTTGTCTATACTAAAAATAAATACATGTCATAGTGAGTATTCTTTAAAATTATACTTTTAAAATTGTTGCCCCTAACTTGACTCTCATGTTCGTTTAGAGATTAAATAAGGAATGTTCAGTTTTTACCGTCTTACTTAAAACTTAATTCCCATAAAACTTCTACACAGC